CAGACGTCGAGGGCTATGAGGCTCCGAGATCCGTATTGTATGACTGTCCGCCCACAAGTGGTGGTACGCTGTTCCCCAGAGCGGTGCGCGATCGCTGGGTACAATGTGTTATCCAGCTGCCAGATCTGAGAATCCTCGAGAAGCACATCGCGTAACCTTCTCGAGACCAGCGATGCGCTATGGGCAGGAGAAGGAAGGTGATGGGGGAGGGCTTTGCCAGAGTCTGAGCGTATGCAGATCGGTCGGCTGGAGTCCCACCGCACACCATTGCAGCACTGGGGTATAGAGAGCGGGGTGGACGCAGATTCTGACACCTGGTATCGCTTTACCCCGGCGAATGGTGCTTGTGCTGCGAAGTGTTCGTTATGCCAAGCCGTTTGAGCATAGTGAATAATCAGCAAGATCAGCTCAGCTGGCAACCTGTCGAATCTCAGAACAGGCGGGGCTGATACGGACATTGGAGGTAAGGGGGAAGTTCAAGATGCAGCTCATTCTTGGCATCTACGTTTGCCCTAGGGAATCATCAGGCATGTGCCGATGATGCTACAAGCGGACATCGCCGGGTCAAAGTTGGTCCGATGAACCGAGAACTAAGACGCACAACTGCCAGCGCCGCATAGCGTAGTGACCGGTGGGATGGTAGCACCACCAAGAGTGTACAAGACATCCTTTCTACCTGGCTAGGATTAGAGTCGTCTCGGCGCCCTCGCGATTGTTAATCCTCAGCAATCAAAAATTGGGGTGATTTCCAAATTAGTAAACAAGGTCGGGAGTCGAACCCGAGAACGTCGTGAGGCCATGCGCCTACAACGACTGTTCAACATCCTTCCGAAGGCTATTCTGATAGAGAGAGAAAATCACGCATTTATGATCTCTCGATCGTCGCATCGTTCATATCACCAGGACTGGGGGCGCTAGGTGATTGAATTCGTCTCGGTGATGAAGAGGGTCACCGTAGACGCTCCTGGTGATGTCTGAGGGCATTCCGAGCAGGGCGTTATCACCAATGGGGAGGAAGAACAACCGGGCCCGGCGACCAGATCTCGGTCGGGACCGAGCCGGTGACTTAGAATTGCTTCACTAGCACCTAGCACCGACACCTGGCCGTCGTTGCTGCCGGGGTTAGTAGGCTTGCCCTGAGGAGGAGGGTGATTTCTGTCATTATCCCGTTCGGCCCGGCCTGCGGTGATTTCCAGAAATTGGCGGAGATAGCCGATTTCCGTTATCCCAATCTGATTTCGTAGTAATTTGCCTGTTACTTCTCTGGTGACGATCGCCATGTCATTCACGACTGTACCCGTAGAACTGTGGCAGAATATTGCTCTTCAAGTTGTGGCGGATGTCATCTCGGTCCGAGATATTCGTTTTGGAGCC